CATCTGGAGCGTACCATGAGACTAAGGGCCAAGGACATTCAACAACACAAGGCATCTTACTAGTAAGCTGGTAACCAAGGTTAGTGACGTGCATACCTGCAGGGTGACTAAATATGATTCACTGTGATGTTACCAGTAATTTGCTAGTATTTTGTTTGTGTCTGAAATGTGCCCATCCCTTGCTCCAGGCAAATGCACAAAAGAGGGTCACAGAAAAACACAGGCTAGTTCACTCTTAGCAGACCAAGAACACAATCTAATGTTACTGATCTATGTGTTTCTGTATGCAGGATAGTCAACTTTTGTATTTAAATCCATCTTCATGAGAAAGGCAGCACTATGGACTTAGAACCCGACTTAAAAATGATGATATAGAAATAGTTGCAACAGACCCAATAGACACTGGAAGTGAAGTATAAACCTGGAAAAGTACTCTTTTTTTTTTTTTTAATGCCTTTCTATTTTCTCTATTACTGCTAAGGGGTTCTCATGTAAGATTCGTCTTAGAACTCGATCCAGCTTCAGTGCAGTCAGACACCTGCCTGACTTCAATGTGGGCGCGATCAGCCCCTTAAACGCTGGGCCAGGAAGCCAGAGGAGTGTGTTAGCAGCATTTCAAAGTTGGGATTTGTTTTGCCCTTGGAGTGGCAGGGTGGGTTCTGGCAATCCTCCCCTGCTGTTTTGTTGCCGTTGTGATGAGAACAGAGGCTCAGATAAGACGTCGCTGTTTGTATCGTGCTTGTGTACCGGGCCTGGTCCTGCTCTGATTACTCTGAGCTGTCAAGTCGGAAACTCTCTTCAGTCTTACAGATTTATTTATTTATTTTACTAGTCAGGCTCTCTCTCTTCCCAAAGTGCTTATTTTCCTACCCCTTCCTTCTTTCCATCCCTCCTCTGACTCATTCTGCTCTGTTGTGGCCTTTTTCCCCTTGCTCTCCTTTCTGTTATTTTCTCTCTGCTTCTCCAAGTCACTTTCCCTGAGTTGCTTTCTGTTCCCTTTCTTTGCCTCCAGGTTTCCTCCACCGGCTTGCTGCCATCCGTGGTTATCTGTGGCTCTCCAGAGCTTTTCTGTTCCCTTCTGTCTTGCCGATACTGAACCTCTGTCCGTCCGTAGAAGCTCTCCAGTAAAGGTGGAGATTTCCTACAGAAACTTTGCGTGTGTAGCGTCCCTCATAGCACAGAGGTAGCCACTTCACCTGCAGCAGACCCTGAGCAGTCCATCCCAGATGACTAACGCTGAGTTCTAGCTCTGAGGCTTGCGCCCACCCTCAGGCGTGGTTGCCTCATGTGGGAAGCAGATGATGGGCTGTTTTCTGTGTCCGAGTGGCTGTGGACCAGGAAGCACGTGGGAAGCTCCTCCAGGGCTTGTTGGAAGGACTTGCACAAAGCAGAAGGCAGTTCCTCAAGAGCCGGCCCAGGAGCATTATATTTGCTCGCAAATGTCGCATTCCTAACTTAGGGTTTTCTATACGCTGCGTTATAGTGTTTTGTTGTTGTTTACAAGACCATCTGGGAGTGTGATTTATGAGAAGAGGGAGCTCTACAGAAGGAGCGCAGTGGTTTCCACAGACAGCAGCTGTTTCGGTGCTGTGACAATACAGATAAATACACTGCATCTATTGTGCTCTTTTCATTGTTGACATTGTCAACAGTTCATTAGTGGAGCTTGCTCAGAGCTTCTGTCTGGCAGACAAAGGATGCAGCTCTTGGTTATCAGGCTCTAGCAGCTCTGTAAAACCAAAATTAAGTTTGAGGCTTCTGGGTTTGTTTGTTATTAGCTGAATTTCATGGTTCATGATAATGATGGAGATAAATGAAGCTGGCTGTGTTGTTATAAAGCTAGGTGCAAGTCACCTTTTTGTGGTGGACTGAGGCAATGTGTCTGAGAGGCTTTTGGTGGAAAGGAATGGAAATGAGGTGGTTTATTTCATGACAGTTGTCACCTGATAAGAAACCAGTGCTAAAAATGGTTGTAGGAGCTTGCATTTTTCATCAGGCTTTGATTGCTTTGTTCGCTTTTATCTTGTGCTTCTTTGACATCTTTTTGTTTCTTGTGGCTCATCAGGCAACAACACAGGGAGTGTTGTGGGGAAAGCCTGTCTGCTGAGTTCTGTCACCAGGAGGTGTTGTCTCCCCTCCAGAGATCCTAGGAGATCCCATAACTAATAATACATGTGTGGGAAACGGTTTGGACTTCTCAGCTTTTAACTTGCCTCCTGTGCTCTGCACAGGTATTTGGGTGTGCCAGGGTCCTCATGTGGTCACAGTCACAACTCTTGCTCTGGGGGATTTCAGTTGAACAGTTGTTTGGATAGGACTTTGCTCCATCCGTATTTTTACATCTGCTGGGTATGAACTGAAAAAGAAGAAATGGTCTGTGTTAGAACTAGATGTGTGCAGTGTGGGCAGGGTTTTGAAAGCTCTCTGACTTTCTGCATCTAACAGATTTCTCTCAGTATCTTCAATATGGTCATCGCTACCTAGTGGGACTTCTAAAAGCATGGAGTGATTTATATGCGCTTTGTGTACTCATATCTCTTAAAAAAACCCCAACAAACTTGTTCCTATTTTCTTCCTCAACATCAAGTTTAAGAAGGGCAGCACAACATGTAACAAATTTCAAATATCCATCCCCCTGCACCCCGCTTTTCAACTCTGTCATGTCCTTTTAGCTGATCTCTGATTAATGCCACCAAGATGGATCACATCAGTGGTACTGCATAAATAGTAAACCCTTTGTAAAGACTTTAGAGACTGTAGTGGCTCTTGTCATATGAGATGGATGAATTTCCCCATGAGGGGAAGGGGCAAGAGCGTCTGCCCCAAGAGAGGGGTGTCATCGAATTAGGCAAGAGGCATCAAAGAGGAGTTGCCAGACTAAGTCAGGCCAGTGCCGTAGCTAGCTCTGAGATCCTGTCCCTAGCGATGAGAACCAGATGCTCCAGAAGTCAGCATAAATAACTAGCAGAGAATAGAAAAGTGACAGTCCTGGTCTCTAGTAATTGGAGATCTGATATCCCTGATTGCCTGTAATTATCTGACCGTCTCTGGATCTTATCAAGTCTTTAGACTTAAGGGATTCCTGTGGTGTTATTTCTGCAGACTTATGGAAGAAAAGTTGTGGGAAACAAGCTTTCCCATCTGCTGGGTTTTCTTAATTTCTTGCCTTTGCATACCACTGAGTATTCCTTTGTCCTTCTAACAACCTTTTATCCTCTGGTCCTCCATCAGAGAGGAGGCAGCTGTAAGTGGGAGCTGTTTTGGCCTCCTCAGAGTCCAGCCTGAGATGGTTAATGCTGTAGTTCCCAGGCAGCAAGGTTCAGGGAACGTGCATCTGTGGAAAGGAGGGATGCTACCAGGGCAACTGCTGGGAGGAGAGATGTGATGTGGCCATGAAGCAGGGAAAGATGCCAGCTGAAGTGGTATTGAGAAGAACCCAGTTCAGGAGAGGGAGGAAATGCGAAGCGGTGCAAAGGAGCAAAATAGCAGAAATCATTGGGCTGACTTGTCACCTTTCAGCCCTGATCCATGTCCCAGGTGAGTAGCTTCAGTTCCTGCATGATACTGTGGAATATCTGTCTGTGGGGATATTCAGAAGTCGACTGGACATGGTCCCTAGCAGCCTGGTCTGACTTTGGACTTGGCCTTTCTTTGGATGAAGCAGATTGAACTCTTCCTTTGGACTTTGTTCTGTGATTTGATATACCTCTTCTCATGGCTGGGACCTTCCTGTTATTGCTCCATCTACATCCTGTCTTGTGTGTGTGTGCACGTGGGTTAGAACATATCTGAGGGAAAGGAGGCATGAGGGTACAGGATAAAAACGATTGAGCACTGCAGCGTTAATGAATACTGTAACTGAGGAAAAGGAGCGTATCTCCTGCTGCAGCCATTCAGTCTGGTCAGGGGAGAGAGCAGAGTAGCAGTCTTCTGTGCAAGACAGCTTATGTGTCTTCCCTAAAGATTTGAAATCCCTAAGTGCTGGTCATGGGCTTGTGCAAAGAGAGAAGGATGGGCTGAAGATCTGAATCTACAGGTCTTAAATCTTTCTGGCAGTGTCAATTAGCAGAACACAGTAAGATTTCTCCCTGGAGTTATTTGCTATTCCTTTTTTTCACTTTGATATCTACTCTGCAGTCTTCCCATAGGGGATGGAGAGAGGATTAGGTAGGGAGGACTCAATGCAATATTTTAATTTTCATGGACATACTAAAATACACAGCATTTAGGGGTATCCCCATTCCATCTTGCACACATCTTTTGAAAGTGCACGTTGGCTTCTGTTCTTGGTCAGCCTCCTGTACGTATTGAACTGATTTTGAGAAAGTGGGAGATCTCTTGGACGTTTTTTGTTCCTCTCCTGACCACAAGTCTGAAGTGGAGTCCTTCAGATTGGAGAAACAGGGTTTGCCCACAGTTTGAGATCATGTATACATAGTGACCTGTACATAGCAACACATCTCCAGAAAAACAGACTTCTCTGTGTCATCGTTGAAAGATGGCATATGAGGCAAACTTGACTTAGGCATGAACTTGCTCTTCCTTGGAAGGCACAAGAGGATTGTTGAGACAATGTGGTCAGTGTGGACACCGACTGTCAGGACTGCATTGTGATTGCATTACAAGCCATGAAGCACATGCTGGGATTCCCGTCCTGCTTCATTTAGTAAAAGCATTCAGAGTGTTTTCTGTGGTTGTCAAAATATCATTAGTTGCAGATTTGGTGGCTCACGTGGCAGTAACAGGACAGGCATTCCAAGGCTTGTGTGTTGACATCAGGAATTGGCTCCCAGTTCATTCTCCTCCTCTGCTGAGCTCGTTTGCTGCTCGTTTGCAGGTCCAGGCCCCTCTCCCACGCCGTGACCCAGCGTGCCAGGTACACAGCTGCTGGCCTCCTCTCAGCCTCCTGCAGCTGCTCCAGCACCAGGGTCCCAGAGCAGGAAGGATGCTGCAGGCCTCCGGTGCTGTTTGTGCTATGTTTTTTCCAGAGACATGTCGCAATGCGTAAAGTTGCTGTGTACGCGTGGTCTCAAACTGTGGGCAAATACTTTTTGCACAGTCTTAAGGACTCTGCCTGGGGCTCTTGGTCTGGAAAGGGGCAGAGAAAATGTCAAAGGGATTGCCGCCTCCTTTCTTCAAATGAGATTGCTGACTACGGGGGACGTGCGCACAGCAGAACCTTGCTCAAAGCAAATATCCCAGGTACAGGTGAGTGCCACCCGGGGTTAGGCAGTGTGCCTGTGCTGTCCCTCCCATCACCCAGCGTCTGAGCTCCCTTGTCCACAGGGTGAAGAAATCCTAGAGGTTTCTAGTATTTAGCAACAGGCTTTGTGGTAAAAAAAGAGCCAGTGGGGCTCCAGTTTACCTCAAGCTCTATAGGTGTTTATAGCATTTAAATCACTTGAAGTGATAGTTAATTGTCCAAGCACAGTATGGGTAACAAGACAGAGAGCGAAGTTTTCCTGGGAGGAGTTTGTGCGTGTTTTCCATTAGCAGTCAGACAGCAGCTAGGGCAGAGGAAAAGGCATGAGAACAGCCTTTCACCGTGACCTCACAAAGAGATTTCCCAGCTCTGAGCTCAGCTCTGTTGCATGACTGAACAAGTGGAAGAAAGCACAACTGGTTCCAGGCTACTGGTTGTTTTATTGGTGTCTTATTTTTATTTTATAGCAAACTGTCTGAAAAGGGGTTTCTTGGGGCCTAAAAGCCCCAGATGGAAAAATAGGCATGTATTTATGGTCCGTGGGCAGAGACACAACAGCCTCAGGAGATGATGTAGCTCTGCACAGATGCTGCGTACATGGTCAGTGAGTCCCGTGCATGCCAGGTGCCTCCAGCTTGTGGTACGCTTGTGTCAGGGTTAATGAATGGTGGAGGTGCTGGCTCTGTCTGCAGAGTCAGCTGGCATGTGTGCCTGTCTGTTCAGGCATCTCCAGCATCTGGAGATCCTATACCAGTCTCTGGCTTTTTTTTTTTTTTTTTTTTTTTACAGGAAAAGACGACGGGCAAGGGAGAAACCCCCACAAAGCGAAGAAGAGATGGAAAGCTTGGGTGCAGTTCTGTGTCCCTCTTTGCACAAGTTCTGATTCCTGCTCAAACTCAGTCGTGCTACTTGCATGAGTATGTAGTGCCTGGGTGAGAGAGGAGTTTGAATTGGGCATCCTAACCTGCAGTGTCTTGCTGCTTCTGCTAAGGCTGGGGTTTCCTGAGGTGAAGCCTTTGATAAGAGCAGTTCGAGGTATTCCCCGCTGCTCACCTAATTGTGCTGGCAGCCCTGGGTTGTGGTGTGGGAGAGGAAATGAGTTGCAGGGGAGGGCGAGCGTACCTTAGGCCAGTGTTGCCACCGGAGACTTCACCTCGTGAAACCACAGCGTTCCTCGTGCACGTATGTGCCATGATTGATGGCAGCAGCCGGTTAGCAGGCGCTGAGAGAGAGCAAAAGGAGGGACAGGGGCCTCCGCTCCTCCTGGCCGCCTGGGCAGGCAGTGCCTCGCTCCTGTTAGCGCGGCAGTGGGGTTGTGAGCAGTCCCTCAGGTTGTGGGTTCATAGCTGATGACTGAAAACCACAGGGGTGTCTGTTAACTCTTAAAAGCAGAGACTTTCAGAATTGAGATAAATGAGGGCATTGCAAACTTTGTAGCTATTGCAGAAGAAATTACAGGGTTCAATATATATCTCTCTCTCTCTCAACATTCAAGTGGTTTCTGTGTATTTGGACTGTAGACATAAGCAAAGGAGGGCTTTAGCCCAGCCAAACTGAATTCCCTGCACAGGGAATTCATGTAAGGTCAGCAGCTTTACACCCCAAAGCCATGCATCTGTAATCATTAAGCACGTATATAGGAAGCTGTCCAGGCAGATGTATCACTCTCCTTCCTACGCCGTCTGCCTTTTGGTTTTGATATTACTAAAAGCTTCAGAAAGGAACAGTTTTTAGTGTGTCAGATGTTACAAGTTGTCCGTGCCAGTTTCCAAGTCAGAGTGTGGGTTTGCATGGCTGGTGCCTTTCCAAGAGCTGGAAGGAGGAATATACCAGGGCTGGAAATTCCTGGTGAATGTAAGAAGCTGTAAAACCTCCCACTGGGTGATCTGTGACAGTGCAAATGGCTGACGGCCTTGTCTGACTTCTGCAGCTGAAGCTTAAAAGGCTGTGTGAAGCTGCAGATGCTTTCCCTGGTTACTAATGAGAGAAAATCCCAGATGCTTGGCTGGCTTTCCTCACGGGACAAATGCTTAGTGTTGTTAGTGAGGTGTTGGCTCTTTGTGTGGTGGGGTTTTTTTTCCTCCCCTGCTCTGAATATCTTCATTTGTTTGAGAGTATCCTTCTTCCTGGTAAAATACTAATTTCAAAAGTAAATGCTGATTTGGGAAAGGGTCCTAGGTGGAGGGTGGATTTGAGAGAGAGCAGCTGAATGCCAAATTCTGAGTGGGTCAGTGATGAGGTGTTTTCCTGCGAGGTGGGAGCTGCAGTCAGGCAGTCTCTGTTCTGACTGCATCAGTATTTATGTGGACTGGAGCAAGACTAGCAGGAGAAGTGGAGGCATCCCACGGTAGCCAGCACCAGAGTCACTAGCTCTGTTTTCTCTGATGTGGGCTACGGCAGGGCGACAGTGTGTTTCTAACATCATAGGTGGGTGTCTGAGCAGCATGGCCATTGGCAGCTTCTTTTCAGGGAAGATGAAACACTTTTTTTTTTTTAAAAAAAAGGTTTGAACTTCATTCAGATGTGGGATGGGAACATATTTGTGGAGGGGTGAAGCAGATCCACCCAGGCCTGCTCACACCCAGTAGTTAGGAAGATGAAGGGTGCTGGTCTGCAATTCAGATCTGTAATGCCAAGCACAACCCAGCTAATATGCGGCCTGTGGACCCATGCAGATGACTTGATTTGCATTTAAAGCCTTCCAGAGAATTTCCATGCAAAGCTACCCGACTGTCGTGTACACTGGTTGAAGTAGGATACGCGGCTGCCTGCTGGTACACTCTGCTCCGCTGTGAGAAGAGGCAGCGAGATGCACCGGCATGAAGTGGTAGCGAAGCAGAACAAAACCAAGCAAAATGAGGGGCTGTCGAGCAGTAGAAAGGCTTATGCAAGCAGGCTACTTTTGTGGGACAACCATCAAGTAAACCTGGTTGCTCCGGAGATAATCTCTGTTTTGTTTAGAGCTGTAACTTGAGGAGATCTGAGAACTTCAAAGTCACAGTTTTGTCTGGAAAGTTTGTATGGGATCCTATCTCATAGGTAACAAACAACAAGGACTGATGCAGACTGAAACATTCCGTGGCTGTTGTCCCGACACACTGCGTTTGACAGCTCTTTCTGTACGTTTGGCTTTTGAATAGGACGATGGTGATGCACTTGGAGTCTAGCACTTACTTACAATTTTAGTATATTGAAGTGGTTTCTCGCAGGCTGCTTTGCAGATTTTTAGTTCTGATTTTTAGGTAGATGGTTTTGATTTATTTGGTCTTTTTCTCCAGCTTTTGGGGGGGGGGGTTGTTTGGTTGGGGGGGGTTTGTTTGGTTGGTTGGGTTCTTTAGCAGTGAAGCTTGCTAAATTGAATGGTCTCTTAGGTATTTAATTTTTACACATGAATTCTGTTCCTTAGAAAAGCTGCCCAAATGTAGAGATGAAACGATGATTGGGTTATAAAAAGCAGAAATAAAAGGGCTGCTAGAGGGATACAAGATTTTGGGGTTTACTTCTCCTCATATTCCATGTATGTACATATAACCTGTGCTATATGTCCCTGAGTCTGCTACAGGAGGATGTCCTGCAGGTTATACATATGAAATGTGGTATTACATTTGAAGATCCCCATATTGAGCAATTCAAAATTAGAAGCATTGTAATGCATCATTTTGGACACTGGATAGAAAATTTCCATTTTAATCCTTTCTGCAGCACTGTGATAATTCAATGATTTAAAAAACAAACAACCCTCCCCCCTCCCCCCCAAAAAAAAACCAAAAACAAACCCCAAAACAAACCAAGAAGTTGTTTCACACTTGAAGAACGTGATACTGAGAAATCTTCCTTGGGCCGCTCACTGGGGCTTACATTCAGAGAAATACAAGACCAGCCTCAAAGCCTTTTGTTTGGCTTGTGTTTAGTCTTTTCCTCTTATCTGTGGGTTGTGTTTTTTTGTTTTCTTGGGTTTTCTTTTGCTTTTTATTGACAGAAAAAAGGATGAATCATGGTTCTTGGAAGCAGAAAACATGCTGTTTGATTATCACTGCTGGGAATGCTGTGTAGTGAAACTGCGGGTGAGGGAGTAGGTGGTTCTACTTCTGCTCGTCTTGCAACTCCTAAATATCATAAACAGCTGAATTTGTGTCAGGCTTGCAACTCTGCTTGTAACTACACCCACCTCAGTTTGGGGTACACACTTTATCATCAGTGTGGGTTAAAAGATGTTTCTGGGAGGCACAATATTTGAGGTTGTTCCACACCTTCTTAAGTGGCTGCTTCCAGCCGCTGAAGTGTGCGTGCACATGGAAATACGCTTTTGTCTGCACTCATAATCTGCTTACTTTGTTTCTAGGGCTCATTGCAATAAAAGAAGCCCATGATATAGAAGCCAGACTTAATGAAGTAGAAAAGCTTCTGAAGACTATTATAAACATGCCCTGGAAGGTGAGTAAGCCAAGTTCCACATTTAGCCCAGCTTGACTCCTGCTTGAGGGTGACATGCACTCTCATGCAGATTAGAAAGTGGTGGACTTTGCCAAACTCTAAAAGAAACTGCAATTTGTTGAGTATCATCTTGGATAAGTGCTGAGTGCCAGAATCATGTAATGACGTCTCCATGCTATTGCTTGTAATAAGTCTTTCTGTCGGACTATGAAGGGGTGGAAAGGGAGAAGAGGAACAAAACAAACTATTGGTAAAAAATGAATGTCTCTTTCTTTTTTTCTTTTTAAGTATTCAAGATCTGAAGTCGTCCTCACGTTCTTTGAGAGATCTCCTTTGGATCAAGTTCTAAAAAATGACAATGTCCATAAGATTCAGCCAAGCTTTCAAAGTCCAGTTAAAATATCAGGTAAGAGTTGTTAGCTTCCTACATTTGACACAAGAGTTACAAAATGAGAATGACTTTATTTGCTGTTCCCCTTATTTTCTGCACTAGCAATTCAAAAAATAGTTCTCCATAGTCTGCTTTATAATATAGAAAATATAATTAGCTTTGACATAATATGCAACACGCATTCAGGCAGTAAAGCGGCAGGTGACATTGGAGACTGATAAATGCAAAGAAGTGGATGTGAGGAAAATGCAGTCCTCACTATCGTGACATATGATAGCGCTGTTACCGCTTAGGAAGGAGATTTTGAAGCTATTGGTGCAGTTCTGTGAAAATGTAAGCTCAGTGCCAAGCGCTGAGCAAAACCAGCATTGAGAATATTAGATATTATTAGGAAAGGAGAGGAGAACAAAAGGAAGGAGCACCACCCCATCTTGAATACAGTACGCACAATTCTGGTGTCTCCATTTTGAAACAGATATAATAGGGTTTAAAAGCATACAAATAAAGGACAAGGATTCAAATTGTTGAACAACTTCTCGGAGAAAAAGGTTAAATAAAGAAGGGCGCTTCAACTTTGAGAAGAGGTGGCAGAGTGGGGATATGATGGAAGTCTACAAAGCTGTGAATAGAAGGAGGTCAATTACCCTGTACTTCTCATGAAACAAGAGCTATAGGTTATTCAATAACGTTGACAGACAACAGGCTTTAAACAAATGAAAGAAATGTTATATTATTGTTTTGTTTCCATATGGAGCACAGTTAAGGAGTGAAACTCATTGTTGTAGGATATGGTGGAACTGAAAGCATAAATTACTTCAAAAAAGAATTAGACAAGCCAGTGGAGGAAAAATACATGGAGACCTGTCACACGTGGAGACATAGACACATTCTAAACCACAGATTGCTAGTGAGCAGAATGGAGAGTATTCTATCCTTGCCTATTCATTCAACCTTTCCCCTCTGCATCTGCTACTGACTGTTGTTAAAAGGTTTGTGGACTTCTGGTGTACCTGGTTTTGTATTTCTATGCCAAAATGTTTCATGTGAGCCCAATGGCAACTGTTTTTTGTGTTGCCAGAAGAGTTTATTTCAGAGAGCGAAATAGAAGTGAAGTGCTACATAGCCCTCCAAGGTGCATGAAGTGTTTAGCACAAAACCGGTGTCAGTTTTCTGAGGTACTAACAGGCCAGTCAGCCTGTCAACATGCTGAGCGTGTCTTAAGGATTGATCTGATACACAGGTGGATTTTTTTGTAATTGATCCTGAGCTCTGGTTCTAAGTGAACTAGTCCTCTGTTAAATAAATATTCTTCTAATTAAATGGTAAATGGTTTATGAGCCCACCAGTAACTCGTTAGAAATGTACCATGTAATACAGAGCCTCAGTGAGAAGTGTGGTCTTGCCAGCCCACCTGGGCTGGTGCGTTCTTGTAGGGCCCCTGAGCTCGGGCTGCAGCGCAGGACTGTAAAGAGCCCCCGGGGCCGTACTGCAAAGGGGGGTGACGCGGGTCTAGCCTCCTGGGAGCGGGAGATGGGAGCCAACGTGTGTGTCTCGCACCCCATCTGTGGCTAGGGAGGTTTGGATGATGTCTTGAGTCGATGTGTAAACATCAGGTAAAATTCCTGCAAAGTTGGTCCTAGCACCTGCCCGTTATGAAATGAAGGATCCCCAAACTGTATGCGGTAAAAAGCTTTCAAAGAGTGGCTGCTGTCAGTGATACCCTGTTCTTTTTCAAACAGGCAAATATCAAGAATAAATGTGTGTGGAATTGCACTGGTTAGAAACTGCAGCGTTGCTCTGGCTTGGGGCTTTTTGCTGTTTGGAAGGGTTTTGTATAATTTTTGTGAGGGTGTGTACCCTCTTGGGGAACACATACTCTGTGCGTGCATGACTGAATACGTCACATGGTAGCTACAACAAAGATGTGATCAAGATGAATGTAAATTCAGAGTGAAGGTGCCAGGCTGATGGGCAGAAGCTACCAGCAAAGGGAACCCTCCTACCAGCCTCTATGTAGAGGAGCTGTGGAAACCACATTAGCTGAATAATAACATACTTTGTTTTAATTCTAAATTATTTTTTGTAGAGGTGAGTCATACCTAATTAATTGGAGGAAGATTTTCCTAGCTATGCAGCTATCCAAAAGCATCTTGTGGTAATTAGTTTTATCATTTCAGTGATTGCTGCAAAGAATTTAAGAAGATAGGTAGAAATTTGATGATAATTGAGGTTTGCTTTCCTCTGAATGTTGCACACTGGAAATGTTGTCAGTAGATGGCAGTAAATGTTAACATCTAAAGCAGTTCACACAGCCATGAAATACTGTAACTCTTAGGTCCCCTCAAGGACGCTGGGAAAACACTGTGGCATTCATGTTAGTCATAGTGCAGGTTTCTAGATGGCCTGCAGACTTTGAAAAGCTGGCAACAATGTCTTATATTCTTTGGGGGGGGGGGGGAAGAAACTGTCCCCTGCATGGTCCTATTCAGAATGGTAGGTGATGGGGAAGAAAGGGCTGCCCTCTTAGATGAAAGCTGAATTTGAATTTATGGTGTAAATCTAATTCTGCAGTATAATGTTGGTTCAAGATGAGTCATGACTGAAGTGTGATTCTGCTGGGATTCAGTGTTTTTCACCACCCCCAAACATATTCTGCTAAAGGGAGTCACAGTAAAATACAGACTGAAAGTCAAAGATGACTTTCTCAAGAAAAAGATGGAAGTGAGGTTTGGCTTTCATTAATGCAGGAACATGTAAATGTACATTTTTAAAAATTACCTCCTTTCTTTCTACTTTCTCGTTACTTGAACTGTATGCATAGCTCACATTTGTTTGAGGATTCCCTGTACCTATGTTTTGTGCCTACTACATTTTCTGCCACAGACTGATTTCCTTTTGTTTATGCTGATAATGCAAGGGTGTAACACAGGTCCTTCTACCTGGAGGCAAGCCAGGAGTCATCCCACTTAAGTCAGTGCTGGTTTCTATAGACATGTATGTTCATTTTGTGGTGGCCCTAGCTTCATCTGAGAGTGTGGGACTGGAAGAAATCCTTGTGACTTGCCTAGTTTGCCTTTCCACATAGCACAGATGTGGATTAACTTCTCATTAACATCAAATACTAATATTTAATTATAAACTCTCCCCATGGTAGTAAGTCAGTGGAATTGGGTGTAAATTTCAGCTATTCCAGACTGGAGGCTTCTTACACAGTGAGAAGCAAATAAGCGGAGTTGAAGGCAACGTAGAAGATGGTATTGCTTTACATGACTTAAAGATGGTGGTTGAATTAAATTGGAAGGTCACTTTTTATTTCCTTTTTCCTGTCTTTTTTATTTTTGCTTAACTGGCTTAAGCCTGGGACTGTCTAGGAAAAATACAACAATGTTTTGGTAGTGGTAGGCTGCAATATATGGATGGGCTGCCATTCTCTTAAGTGTGACGGGAATGTTGCCACTGGCAATAACAGGACTGAAACGGGGCCTTGCTTCAAATGCTCTGTGTCATGAATTGATTACGTGAATAAAATTGCTTAAGCACTGGTAGTTTGCAGGTGTAAGAAGCTGTGAAACCAACTCTTCATTCCACACATATTTTCAACGTCATGCATGCATCTCAGTTCATAACCATGACAATTACATGTGATACACAGTTGATTTCCAGCGTGGGGCTTTTTAAAAATTATTTTCATCATGTTTTCTTTCTTCTCCTGACAGAAATCATGCGGTCAAACGGATTTTGTTTAGCCAACACTGAAACAATAGTCATTGACCACAGTATACCCAATGGAAAAGAGAAGCACCTGGACGTAGATTCAGCAGAACACTTGTAAGTGGGGTTTGTGCATGAGTAATGCTGTCAGATTTGGGTAAACTGTAGCTTTCCCGCTCCCCACCCCAACAAAATGTTATCCTCTGTCTAGGAGCAAGACTGGTACAGCTGTCATTCTGACTGGTTAAAGATTACTGGGCCTGATTGCTAAGGCTTCACAGCTCTTTCTATTAAAATGGATAAAATGGCTGTCGGTGAGAATGATTGACCCCAAGGAGCTCAGTTCTCTGCTTGTAGAAAAAAGTTGTGGTTGTCATAGGGGTCCTTTCTCTTGTGATTGATATTTGGAAACTCAGACACCTTTACAAACAAAATATACCCCTACAAAGGGTATGCTTTATTTGGGAAGCAAAACACCATGCTCAGAGGAGGGAAACACACCCCTGAATGTAGTCAAAGGAAGCTGAGCGGCTGCTTGGGTGCTGCGGCATGCTGGACTTGGTGAAGCTTATGTGTTTCACTAAGGGAGAGGGAAGTTAGCCCAGTCTTATGCCCAGTCTTATTTGTAAATTCTGCCTCCTATGTGTGTAGGTATTCTGGGGTCAGAGGCCTGTAACCAGGAGGGCTTTCACGCAGGTCTTAAGTCAGTAACTGTACTGACAGATGGGTATTGATGGAAATCTGCTCCTACAGATTTCTGTCATTGCAGGTGATTGATATTTCGATGAACTTCAGGTAGTGAAGCATTTAAATATTTTTAATGAGAAACATTGACCTACTTTTTCATTAGAGCAGTCAAAATGATGGAAACGGAGCAGTAAAAGCCTTGCAGAAGCATTATCTTTGAATGCAGCGCTCTGTCTTGCCGCATTTGAAAGGTGGTCATTGCCAGTCTGTAGAAAGGTTTAGAGCTTGACAAGATTTTGTCAGCGGCTGGAGTGTATCTCTGGCTCCAGTGTAATTTCTCAAAGTGTTTCTATTAACTTATCACTTAGTGTTTTGAACCCTGACCTTGCTAACAGCATTTAAGCTTATAAGTTTGTATTAATGAGTCTGAAGTGGCACACTGGCAGTAATTCTGTAAAGCCAATGTCTGGAAATTAAAGTTGTCATAGTTCATAGTGGATCATTTTTCAGTACTGAGAGTGACAATTTATAGGAGCAAATTACCAAAGAAAGCCTTTTTTCTGCCTTATTTTGATTATTTTAAAAACTTTTGATTTAATATTAAAAAAAAATAAAATCTAACTTTAATTTTAAAAACATGCTGCAGCCCAAGCAAAACTTACTGGTGTGGGCTCAGAAACTGTCATCATCTAATTGCCATCCCACTGAAGTCAGAGAACATTCATGCCAGAAAATATTGATATGATAAAAACTGTGTGGTAGGCATGGTTTCCCAGAAACTGTGGTGGAAGAAATAAATTATGATAACAGCCTGGCTTTGTGCAGTTTGATTTCAACTTTCCTGAAGGAAGTTAAATCTGGAGTCAAGAAGTTAATGAATTTCAAATGTCTATGTTACATGCTGCCCTAACTTTGCCCATCCTGTAGCTGTATTTTATAGCTGAGAGGTAATGGCTAGGAGGTAATGGCACTTATGTAGCGCAGCTGTTTTGGAAAAATCAAACTTCTTTTAAAAGCAGAAATTTTCTGTACTGTTGTTTTAAATGTAGGTTAGTAGCCCAGAAAGGAAACTTGAAAATCTTTCAATAATCCTATGCAGGTTCTTTTTGGTCTCTGTAAAATTGGATTTATGGGATTGGTGTTTTCTATTCTTAAATCAGAGTTAATTCCTTGTGGACTTGTATATCCTCAGATGGGAATTTTTCCCTTTCAGCAAAATTAAACTCTGTATGACTTCTGGGTTTTAGCTGCCAATGTACTTGAATCAGACATTTTGCAAAGCAAACCTGTATTTTTATGTAGAGAGATGTAGCAATCGTCCCCCGAGGTCCTGCTGCACTGGTTAGCTGTTGTAGCTTGCAGTGCTACCTACCTAGTGATCCATCAGCTGAAGAGTCTCATACTTGTTGCAAATGAAACTATAGCATTTTTGCAAGTTGGAGTTGCTTACTCTGTTGTTCTGAAGTAGTTGCTTTCTGCAACCATACTGTTGCAAAATGTGGTGTGTCCAGTGTGCTCAGCGTCCATGTGCCATAAATAGTCCTATGTGTGCTTCTTCAAGTACTCCGCAGTCCTTTTGAAAGGAAAGGTGGTAAATCAATGCATTCTAACTTATACTTCGGGTTTGTTGCAGAGGTGCCTTCCCCTGCCAGGAAGGCACTTCTGTCTTTTAGGCCAGCAGCAGAAGCTGTGGCGTTGGACATGCTACCTTTTAGGCAAATTCACTCCAGTACTAGATACACGTTTTCAGGCTAAGGCTGCCATTGTCACAAGCATCTTGCAGTCCATGGGAGAGACTCTCATGGGTGGTGATTCAAAAGTAGCACAGAGATGGTGACGTTAGACACAGAGTATTTGCAGGAAAATTAAATCCTTCTCTTGACAGGAAAAGAAAATGCCTCCCCTGTGCTTTTTAGTCTTAGGTGGGAGGAGATCTGTTCAGGTACTGCTTGTACATAAGGTGATGAGAGGAGCTGGGCTGTTGTCTCACACCATGTTTACACTTGGGGTTGCTCCTGTGAGTTAATGAGCTTCTGTGTACCTTGTTTCCCTCTTCTTCCTGGCAAATGTGAGCAGTAACTCTAATGCATCACTAGGAGTTAAATTGATACTGTTGTCTTGCAGCACAAGGAATAGGCCCTTGTGAAGGATGTTGTGTTTGTCAAGGTACTTTGGGGAAAAAATAGCAAGACCAGGGCAATGGTTTGGGCATGGAGGAGTCTGCACATCCATAGCAGTTTGCAGAGTTAGTATAAAGTGTATTTGGGGAAAAAGACCTGCTGGTAACAACACAAAAGCATTTTGACTGTTGGGCGCCCTATACAGCTGCTAGCTGTAGTTAAACAGCCCTAGTTTATTCGGTTTAGTCTTGTATGAGTGCTCCAGAGCAGTGCTTTGCAGACTTCTGTGTCCGCACTTCCTTTCTGGTGGCAAGGAAAGCTTTCTGCATAACTGCAGCACGTGAATGCCACTGCTTTGTACCTGACATGCTGCTTGTAGTACCCTATCGGTGAGGCTGAAGAACCACAAAATCTGTGGGGCCTTTCAGCTGTAATAATCTAGTTTTTATACAATTGACAAGAGAAGGGGAGCAGAGTCTGAATAGCCTTCTTGACGACTCTTCTGCTTTCTTCATTCTGTCTGCCCCACTGGTATTTCATAATCTGTTGTTTCTGGATCGCTAGCCGTCTGTGAGACAGCACAACATGATCTGTGAAGTATTTGCAAGATACGAAGTCAACTCCCTTCTGCACGTGTTCCCACACATGCAGGCAAGCAAGCAGCCTGGAGGGAGTAGAGGAATGAGGGTGATAAACATTCAAAGTTCAGTCTCATTTCATTTTGTTGTAAGTACAGAGCACAGCAACAGCACTGCAGAAGAAAATCTGTGAGTTTCTGCTCAAAAAGCATTGTGGTCCTCATAGTTAAGAGGTGAGAAGGACCAGGCAGGACTGTGGAAAAGAGACAGAGCCGTGTATAGACTGTGCTATCCACTAACCTGCGATGCTTCTAAAGAAAGTTTTGGGGGATATGGGAGTGGGAGATGTACCTGTTTCTTCACCACTTTTCTTAGGGTCCTCTCAAATACTTGATTGTTAGGGCTCTCTAGGGTGAGGTTAGAGGGATGTCTGCAGTTGCCTCACTTAACTGAAGGAGTCTAAGTAGTTCATGTGTAGATGAGATGCAGTTTTAAACCAAATTATTTTAAAGTTACATCTGTTTATCTGCTCTTGGAAGAGCTGAAGTATGTCAGCCCAAAAAGCTGTTAGCGACATGTCCTATAGTCAGAGCTGGGTTAGGATTTCTTTTTCCATCTTGTGCAATTTTTCAGTTTCTATTTCATTTTTTCTCACTCTATTAGAATGAATGCAAGTTCTTGCAAAATGTTGAAGACAGAGTATGAGGAAAAAGAAATTTGATAGTTTAAGTCTTTTGCTTGAACTGAGATGAGATTTAATCCCTGGCCTGCAGTGACTGCTTTTAACTGCTAGGCTATCAGGGAAGAAGTAAAATGTTTTCTTAATGCAGAAATTCAAGCCTCCTTGGAACGGGAACGTGTGTAACTGAGGAAAGGTTTTAGCAAGTTGATGCCCTCTGGTTGAGAGTAGGTGTGAGACAGTGGGTAGTCCTTGCAAAAGTTGAGGTTATAACACAAAAGTTAGGAATTGGGAAGGAAAAAAATTAAACAAGTGTAACTAAATTTGGGAATATCTTTATATTTGGATGTTCTCTGCTTGTCTCAACCTAAATCTCATGCCCTGGGGAGGGCAGCAAGGCTCTGGAGGAAGGACACTTTAGTCCTTGTTTCCTATTTGTGTTAGACATTTGGCCTCATAAAAAAGCCAAACTGAGAGAAGGTACCTGGGAAGTGAAAGCATGAGAGTCTAAGTTCAGGCAAAGGCAGTTTCCATTCCACTTTTGTGTGGGAACTGAGGCGTTTTCTGTTGCTGCCAAATGCTGTGAGAACAAAATGGAAGGATGTGGACCTCAGCTACCCAATTCACTCTTCCAGAGCTCACTTGCTGCTTGCTTCCTTCCTTCCTCACTAGTAGCTTTGAAAGTCAAGGGCAACAAGATGTTTTGTTTACGTGCACGATGGTTCTCATTGGTCTGTGGTTTATTCACATACACATGGGTATGGGGAGGAGGATGGGTGGATGGGATCAGCTCTGAGTACTTTCTGTGAAGATTTTCCCATACCACAGTGAAAGTTCTTCTAAACACATAAAAATCTCATTGTAGAGGTATCCAGAATTGCCTGGAAAGGCAGTGTCCCAGGAAGTCATTCATTCATTAGTAGGAGGGGAGTCCTGGTGCCCGAAAAGAAATTAATAATGTTTTTGATCCAGCTCATCTTAAATGTGATGTGGTAACTAAGTGTCAAGAGATAGGAAGTTCAGGTATTATAATGACAAGTGCTGTGAAGAGTCAGTGTCATACTAGAGAAGAGTCACAAAAGTCCCTTTTACTGAAGACTGCTATCTGAAGAGATGAGAACTTGCTCTCCTAGTATGCTGCACAGCTGTGTTTTAGGACAGTTTTAAAAGGGAATAGCCATCCTATTTTACTGAAAGCAAAATCTTCAGCCTGTTCATTTCCATAGATTATAAAGAAACAGGCTTTTCTGTTTATTGAAGGACGTGGAGAGCAATGCTTTCCATTTACTTCTCAACTCCATCTAGGAAGTGTTGAATCTTGGTTTATGAAAGTGACAGTAGATGCTATTGCTGGCGTCTCCAGTAGGTAATGCTAGCATAATGATATGGAGGCTGTCAGGGAGAGAGCTTTGTGATTCATAGCTGACCTGCATGGACCTTCCTCGACAATTTCTAGTATGAATTTGCATTTCAGGCTGCCAAGAGAGGGAGTGAGATACTGAAGCTTTGGAAAGAGAGTTAGGACTCTAGAGCTTTGTCTCACAAACTGAACTTCACAAAGCTGAGGCTGCAAACCAGCATTAGAAATTCTTCTACTGCAACGCTGCTCTGGTGTGAAGCAAACCCGTGTGTTACACTTGCTCAGAAATTTAACTTGCTGTACCAGCAGAAGCATTCTTGCCTGCAGCCTTTTGTCCAAGTAATATCCTCACAAATGTCTTTTCTCAAAATTTCTGGAGATCGGTGTTCAGATATCCTAGCCTTCTCCCTCAGTACTTCTAATTTCTTTTACTTTGATTTTCTAAATGAACATTAATGATTCAATGCCTTTTGGTGTCTGATGTGGGTTTTTAAAACTTATTTATTTCTCCTTAGGTTTGAAAGTGTTAGTGACTTTACCTCAGAGCTAGAAGACAGTGATGATCCAACAGCTTATGTCACCAATTTGACATACTACCACCTGGTCCCATTTGAGACTGATATTCTGGACTGAGGCTGCTCAGTGATGCAGTCAGCCAGCATCCAGCCGACCTCTTCGTCCACAGGCTCTGCTATCTCTGGCATTGCATCTCTGTGAATAAGGCTGTGCGGGCAAGACCAACAGCTGAGAAGTTGCAGCAAGTACGCCACGAAGCTGGTTTTGTAGTCTGGCCCTCTGTTCTGTGTTATGGAGACATCTTGTAAGGAGGTAGCTGCTTCGCTGTTGACAACAAACTCGTTTTCTGTGAAAGCAAGGCAGCCTCTTGGGGCTCGAGGAAATCTCTGCTATGTCTGTGGGAACTGCCACTCTGACACAGACATCGGGAACTTGTACTGTAGTATGCTGTCACCAACGCTCCTTGGCTTGCAGTGCAAGTTGAGGCTTCCTCTTTTAGGATACCATCAGAAACTTCCCCAGATGGTGTGACCACACTTTTTACGCTATGTAAGCAAGAAGGCAAACCAGCTGAATTTTGTCAGTTCCTTCTGCGGTTGCTTAATGGAGGTCTTGCGGGTCAATTTTTGCTCAGCTACCGGATGACTGGTGCCTTACACGAGATGTCAGAAATACCATTGAGTGCCTCCAGGAAACAGAACATGTGAGCTGACTGCTTTGCTTCTTTTAATCATGGGGTTTTATATAGTCACTGAAGAGGTGGCTACTCTTTCCTGGAACAGTAAAGCAGACAGCAGCTGGCATTGCAGTGGACCGTGCGTGATGTTTGGGTACCTGTGTGATTTCAGAGATCTGGAAAGCTGATGGGAAAGCTGAGCTGCCCCCTGCTAAGAACGGTCAAGACTATGACAGGCACTTGGATATGATTTTTTTTTTGTCATGTGGACCAGGAAATGTGAATGGTGCTTACAGTTGTTTACATCAGAGAGATAATTCCCTATGCATATTCCTCTCCAGAGGATGGGGAGGAAGACAATGAGATTTACATTGTGTTTGGACTGAAAAAGAATGATAAGCTACAGTATGTCTACAGTGGTAGGAAGAGCACTCTGCGCTGCCAGCCTGGCTCAAGGAGCCTATCTAGCTTTCCGAGATCCGCCTGCGGGGCCGGGTGCAGGCCTCGTTGTCATGTAATGCCGTGGGTTTCAGTGGAGGTAGGACGGCGGGAGCAAGAGCGGGATCGGACCCTGCGGCCTCTTGACTACCGAGTAGTGCAACGTTAAAATCTCCTTGGGGTCTCTCTCTTGCGGAGCACTCCAAAATCCTGGCTCTCACTGTGAGTGCTCAATGCTCGCCAACGTGACCTTTTATTGAGCCTTTTGCAATCTGTTTGCAAACATGAATTTGAAGGGATTGAAATTGGAAGGAATGCATTTTGGACTTGTTTCATGGAAAAGGGGCTTGCTTGGTCCTGAAGAAGTTGATACAACTCCCTTCTGCAAAATTTTCATTTCTATCTATAGAATAACAGTCAAACAGAATTTGCTAATGTAAATAATAAATTATTGAGAATCCTAATTCTTTTACACAGTATGTTTTTAAAATATATTTTAATGAAATAAAATATAACTCACATTCAGTACACTTTCTGCAGCTTAAAACAGTGACTTCCTTTTTTTTTTTTTTTTTTTCCTTTGAGGACACTTTTCCAACCATACCAAATTGCCTTTCTTTATTTCTCTAGCAGTTTTGGAAACATGCCAAGTTTTGGCAATTCTTTCTGTGCTCCATGTATTGTTGCCCATACTGTAGATATAGTGTATACTGACTTGAAACCTCTCTGCCTAACTGTTGATCTTATGTCTAGGTGTATGTGGTTTAATGCCACTAAGGTTAGTAGAGGAATTCTGCATTTTCAAGACTACAAGTGAAATCAAATCTGGCAGTTCTTCTTTTTGAAGATAACGCAGATTCTTATATGTTAAATTTCTGGAATAGAAATATGTCCTCACTCATGCAAAGGCTTTCTGAGAAGCCTCTTGAATTGGAATTAAGGAGGTTTTTTGATTTGTTTATTTGTTTTACTCTGATTAGTTTTAACTCTTTTGTCAGTGCTTTCAGTTAACCATGGTGGGGTAGAAATAGTGTCTAGTAAACATGTGCAGTGGATTGGGAACTGGAATTTCAATTCCTGGCCCTGCTGTCAGCCTACCATGTTGCTTTGGGTAATTTGACTTCATCTCCCTATCCCTGAGTTTTTCCTTGAGTAATATTTTGAAGACCACCAAGTGTCAGTGCATCAAAAGCCAGTATGTCCCCCGGTTTATTTGAATGTTCCCATGAATCTTAAACACATAAATGCTTATCTGTTTAAAAGCACTTTTAAATCCATAGATTAAAAAATAAATAGAGAAGCATTGCTAATTTTTAAAATGTACAGCCACATTCCTCACATGAAAACCAGCTAACCTGCATGCACAGTAAAGTCTTCAGGGAAGGGAGTCTAATGCAAAGGAACTAATCTACAAACAGAATTTGCACCCATTTCACTTGGATTTTTTCAAAAGCCATTTTGATCAAGTATTTTCAAGAGATTGTCATGTGATTTATTTCTCTTAGCTGAAGTATGTTTATTTGATAAATCAAAGGAATGCAAATGACCATGTATATTACTTTGTCCATAGAGTCAATTAAAAAAAAATTCTTTGGTTAAATTGCTGCAATTTTCTCATGTGGACCAGATCTCTACAACTGGGAGAGGTTCAGAGTATGAATTAAGCATATGGTTGATTCATGTGTACAGATACCTTACTCTTGATCAAAAAAAATAAAAAATCTGAGTTTGAACACATGACTGAAAAGGAACACAGAGAATTTTCTGGGTTGTTTGTTAGGGGTTTTTTTCTTCCCAACCAGCTCTTATTATAGACTAGTAGCATCCTGCAAGAAGATAATCCAAACTCATTGTGCAGATATAATTCCATTACATTTTGTCTTTTGATGTAGCAGAATGCTCAAATTTTCCAATCGTATCTCGGTTTTCATTGTGTTTGGTAGTATGTAGTGTTATAAAGAGAACGTCACTTGCAACAGCGGATAGGTTAACACAGTAATGCTAAACACTTCAAGGGTGAAAGGGATGTTGGAGCCAGAGGATAGGCCTGTAATGCAACAATATAAACGTAGGTAGTTCTGAAAAATCTGTGGTCAGAAGAGAATGTTTTGCCATCAAGGCAGAATAAGGCCTTTGTGTAAAGCTCATGGTTAAAAATGTCATTGGTTAAGCCAGTGCTGAAGAGTAAAGATATTCCTCAATCAATATCATGTGATAAAGGGCTGATAGATTATGAGGTAACAATGTATACAGAACTACAAATGCATGAGAGTTGTGAATGTGTATTAACATATAACCCTGTTACTCATTAGATTAGCCCTAAGCTTATGTGTTAGTGATGAGAGGGTGAACCTGGCCCCTCTTGGAGAATTTTTTGGGGAGCAGAGAGCCCATATAAGCAGTTCTCACTCTGCTGAGAAAAGGTTGGCTCCAGCAGAAATGTTCGTTCTTGCCCTGCCCTGTTATTGTCTCTTTCCTATTCTGGGCCAGTGGTTCTCCAGCTCACGTTTTGTATTACTTTGTATTACTCTGTGGGGCTTGACTAGCACATGGTTCACTCACAAAGCCAGAGGGCACAAGATCACTGTGGAGCAGCAAGAGTGTCCTAAGCCCTGCATGAATCATAGAATGGTTTGGGTTGGAAGGGACCTCAAAGATCATCTAGTTCCAACCCCCCCCTGCTGTGGGCAGGGACACCCTCCACTAGACCAGGTTGCCCAAAGCCCCATCCAACCTGGCCTTAAATACTTCCAGGGATGCCCAACCTCTCTGGGCAACCTGTTCCAGTGCCTCACCACTCTCACAGTAGAGAATTTCTTTCTAATATCTGATCTAAATCGACCCTCCTTCAGCTTGAACCCATTGCCCCTTGTCCTATCACTGCACTCCCTGATAAACAGTCCCTCACCAGCTTTCCTGTAGGCCCCCTTCAGGTACTGGAAGGCTGTAGTTAAGTCTTCTGTTCCCCAGGCTGAACAACCCCAACTCTCTCAGCCTGTCCTCATAGGAGAGGTGCTCCAGCCCTCTGATCAGCTTTGTGGCCCTCCTCTGGACTCGCTCCAACAGCTCCATGTCTCTCCTGTACTGGGGCCCCCAGAGCTGAATGCAGTACTCTGGGTGCGGTCTCACAAGAGCAGAGTAGAGGGGCAGAATCACCTCCCTTGACCTGCTGGCCATGCTGTTTTTGATGCAGCCCAGGACACGGTTGGCTTTTGTCCATGGTTGATTGTGGCTGGGCTGCTGGCACTTCTATCTGGATCCCACGGGTCAGAAAGAGCGTGTGTCTGTGGAGATGATGGCTGCCTGATTGCACCAGAGCCCCGGCTTGCTCCTTGGCGGAGGAGGCAGGAGCACAAACTGATCCCCGGGCAGGGGCAGGGGTGCCTGTAGCACAGGCAGGCTCTCCCCTCGTTTCACGCTAGCTGGTGCAGAAGTGGCCATTTCTATAGGCCGGTCCTTCTGAAAAGGAGTAAGAGGGTGGGTTTATACGTGACTTGCAGCCATGGTGGTGGGCAGTTAACGCACGTTCATCTGTATGGGGACGGTCTGCCCATTTATATGTACTGGTGGGGGCTCCCCATGGGTGTCAGGGCAGGGGTGGCAGCTGGGGCCTGTCCCACCGTACTGGCAGGAGCAGGGCACTGGGATGGCCCCAAACATCAGGGACTGCCCTGCGGACAGGTCAAGGACAGGCTGGGACGTGGGCCCGCTGTGGGAGCGGGAGACCGGCCCTTCTGCGGCATCGCTGGGGCAGGGGCTGACAGCTGCGGGGGGCTGACATGGGGTCCTGGGCCGTGGGCAGGTGAGGGAGCCTGGGGTGGGCAGGGACAGCCAGGCCTGTGGGTGCCCTCGGGGCTTGTGTGCTGGATGCTCAGGATTTTTGTCCTGCATGTTTTGGAAGTATGTTTATTTTTGCCACAGTTTAACATCAGGTACCCTGATGTTCTGGGTACATGAAATATGGTGCAGAATTCAGTTATTGCTGCATTAAAAAAAAAACCAAAACAAAACAACCAACCAACCAAACCCCAGTCTTTCATGATTTAAGAAAAATGTAGCTGAAATAAAATTCCATTTCTTACATTTCTAAACGAGACCTCTCCCCTGTGAACCCATTGTAAAATCCCCCATGCCCACATCTGCAGAACGCTGTGAAAAATATCACACGGCATGTGAAAGGCTGCCATCTATCTTGGTGGTAGGTTTCTTCAGAAACCTAACAATGAACATGTAAGTTTCAGGATTATTCATTAGTTACCATCTTAGGATTCTAACAGAAGTGAGTAGCACAAGGATTTCAGCCCCAACCCCCCTTCCACAGTGCAAAGCCAATTCCTATGTAAGCCATGTTGTTAAAAAGCTGATCTTTATTTTCTCCGCGACTTTGGCTTCTCCCTTTGGCACGCTGTGTGGGGATGGTGTGTACCAGTCCTTGCTGAAAGCTGCATGAGCAGAATAGAGGTATGCTGGTATCTAGTGAAGGAACAGGAGTTA